AGGTATATAACCACCTTACTTTAAAGTTACGAAATTAATTCCATCTATTTCCTCCATATTATCGCTAGACGTTTCGGAATCTTTCCCGGTATTATCTTTAATGTCTGAATCATCTGTTGCTTTATATTCTGTAGACTTCATTTGTAACTCCACGCCATATCCTGACAAACGCACGTTTTTCTCTGCTCTGTCCTACAAATGATAGAAAATACAAACATTTGTATGTTATGAATATGTCGTTTTGGCTATTAAATATCTATAATACCTTCAAATAATGTCGCAAAATATAAGTGATACCATGATTTTCAGCGAGATGTTTTAATCTATTATGAAAATCTGTGAATGTTGGTGTTCCAATTTGACCATATAATATAATAATATTTTCAGATTGATGGGACATATGATAACGATGGTCTACACTGTAAGTATCAGGATTAGACCAAGTTTCCTGTAAAATAAACAAAGAGTGTGTAATTTTATGTGATTCTCATATACATATACATATTTTATATATCACTCACTTGGCTGATTAGCTGTTCCAATTCTTCTATAGAACAAGTATATTTTCCACCTACATCGACTACATTATAACAATCAAAGTTGGAAAGATTTTTGTTTTCTGCCATTTGGGTAAACATTTCTACTCGAGCTGAATAAATACGTAAAGACAATCCCAATTTGAGTAATGCCACTTCCATGGGAGATAAATACTCTTCAGCAAATGCAACAATGACATCATAGTTATCCTTCTCTGTTCATCAAAAAAATTATAATTATATAAAACTGTGATATTTATGTGGTGACATTAACAGGTTGAACTGATCTTACCATTTCCAAAAGTGTAATTTGCAAAGGTATCTACAAATTTCCAAAAATAGGTGGGATTTTCGTCACTTAGATACTCTGCTGCCTCGAGTGCCAAAGGTGTTTCCTTCCATTTTGCATCTATTAAGGTCGTCACGTACTTATTAACCCTCTTGTCTGCTTCGAGATGCGTTGTACACAAAAGTAACAAAGGAAAAAGTGTAGTTAACCACATCTGAAAATAAAAAAATAGTTATTAATAATACTATCACCCTTGTGTTTTGATTGCATCAAATGCTCAGAAGTATCAACAGACTTTTCACTTAATCAAAAGTTATGTTCTTGATAATGTAATTGGTTATATGTGACTGAATAAAGACATGTTTCAAACTCGCGTCTTACGAATACATATTTCTTTCACAATGATATCGACTTTTTTTATTGTTTCTCTTAAAACAAATCAAAAATCGGAGAAACGGAAGATATTACCATCGATAAAAATGAATAGAAATGGAGCTTAGCATTACACGATTACGAGTTCCAGTGATCCTATCTTACGTGGAAGAAATTTGGTTTTCGAAACCTACGTACCTCTAATTTTGCGATAAAAATCATATTAACAAAGGCAAATACGATGATAGCCAATCCATGCAGCACACGTGCCGGTAAATACCGCACTGGTGGAACTCCTCGCGGCTCTATTTAACTAAGAAATTACGTATATGTGTACAAGCATATGTATATATTATTACGACAAATTAATGTCCGATCATACATCGATAGATTTCTTGTGCACGATTCCACGTATACATGCACCACTCAGAAATCACATTGCCCGCAAAAATTGAACAAATACCACACAACTATACAAAAATCATATGCGAGTGCACAAACCACGCATTCAACATAAAAATACGAGAGGTGCCACACGACCACGGAAGACATGACAAATACCATACATTAAAAAATATAGAGCACAACAATTACACATAAAGACCCATACATTTCAGATCACACTTATTTCCCTTTTCTTTCATTTTTTACTCAACAGATCCAATTATTTAATCGCTATGAATAACTGCACAGATCTCATTATTGTTGATGATACGTTTCAAAGAATCGAATTGTTTACAAAATTTCATTCAGAATTACCAACGCGCTTGCGAAAGAGTCCCGTAAAATTTCCTAGCACGTTCTGTAAACACAAAAAGAGATTATCCAGTATCGTCTATTATACGATTTTCTTACTTGCTTGAATATCATGTAATAAATAAATACTCGAGTATTATTATATTATTTTGGAGTACGAGTATTATATCTAATCTCATTCTGAATATAACGTAGCACAGTGCCATGTATATCGCGTGGAACAGGTGTTGAATACCTTGTTACAGTTGGTTACAGTATTAGACAAGATAAGAACTCAATTCATTTGATACATTTGATACTGGTCATATTTTGAGAGAAACAAATCTTTATACCATGACTATAATAGATTACATGCAAACATTATCTGACAATCCTTATTTCGGAGCTGGCTTTGGCCTGTTTGGGTTAGGAGCTGGAGCAGCTTTGTTGAGAAAAGGGATGCAAGCAGGAATGATATTGTTCAGGTATTGCTCACATAAAGATTACATTTTATACAACACTATCTTTACATGTCTCTTTTTTCTTTTAATGCATGACTTTCTTCAAACATAGGCGACATTACATGATTACTTTGGAAGTCCCTTGTCGGGACAAAAGCTACCAGTGGCTCCTGCAATGGATCACGCATAAGGGTGCAAGAAAAACCCAACATCTGTCTGTTGAGACAAGTTTCGAGCAAAAAGAAACAGGTCACATAAAAACTAGATATGATTTCATACCAAGTATTGGAACTCATTTCTTTAGGTTAGAAATAACTGTACTTAATGGTCCGATACTTCAATTTACAACAAGTATGAAATCGTGAAATTATTAAAATATAATTATTAAGTTATTCTAGGGCAATGGTTCGATGGTAAAGGTGAAAGTTGTATAATTTTAATTTGTTTGTTCAAATTAATAGATACCAAGGGAATTGGATAAGGGTAGAACGAACAAGAGAACAACAAACACTTGATATACAAATGGGTATACCATTCGAGACAGTACAGCTGACAGCATTTGGAAGGGACAGGAGCATATATTTCAATATTTTGGAAGAAGGTAAAATTTGATATACTAGTATTAATTTAAGATAAATTAAGTAGAATAAATTAATAGTAAATAGTGCTTGTTGCTATGAATAATTATAATAAACACTTGATCTGTAGCTAGACAAATGGCTTTGAAAGAGCACGAAGGCAAAACCATAATGTATACTGCAATGGGAAGCGAATGGAGGCAGTTTGGACATCCTAAGAAAAGAAGACCACTAGAGTCAGTTGTCTTAGACACTGGCGTCGCGGACAGAATAATAAGCGACTGTCGCGAATTTATAAATAATCCGTCGTGGTATGGCGATCGTGGTACGTAAATAAATCATTTAAAATAAACGTTACACGATAAATAAATCTGTTAACTAATTACACAGGAATTCCATACCGTCGAGGATATTTATTATACGGTCCACCGGGTTGCGGTAAATCGTCATTCATTACCGCCTTAGCTGGCGAATTAGAACGAGGTATATGCGTTTTAAATCTGTCAGAGCGAGGTTTAACGGACGATCGATTAAATCACTTATTAGCTGTGGCTCCTCAACAAACTATTATACTTTTGGAAGATATCGATGCAGCATTTGCCAGCAGAGAAGAGAGTAGAGAAGGTAACTGCGCGTGTTGCAAATTTAAAACGGATATGGAATTTGTCTTACGATAGTTGCATTACCAATTTCGATACGTTTTATTTTAGTTAAATCTGCGTACGACGGTTTGAATAGAGTAACGTTTAGCGGCTTATTAAACTGTCTGGACGGTGTTGCTTCTACCGAAGCAAGAATCCTATTTATGACAACTAATTACTTGGAAAGATTAGACCCTGCATTAGTTAGGCCAGGTAGAGTGGATGTAAAAGAATACATAGGTATGTTACATTTGAACTCGATTTATATCGGATATTAACGATTTTATATCGACTTCGTGTCTCATTTCAGGTTGGTGTAGCAACAAACAAGTGGAGCAGATGTTTTTACGATTCTATAAAAATAGTGGCAATAAAGCAGAAGAACTTGCTAAACAATTTGCGGAAGATGTTATATCACAAAAGAAAAATGTTAGTCCAGCGCAAATTCAAGGATTCTTTATGTTTTATAAGAACAACCCCAATGAAGTGCTAAAAAATATTTCGCACATATGGGAACTCACGTGATAGGATGAATTATTAGGTAGACATTAGCATTGTAAAGCTTTATAATAAAATGTATATAAACGTTGAGACGAATATGACAAAGATATCATAGAGCATTCACGTTCTCATATTTATATTAATTATGCAATTAGCGCATCCGCTAATTTAATTTCTAATAATTTGAAATTTCTACATAGATGAAAACTTCTCACTTTTATAGCGTTTATTCCGATTATTGCATTACTATCGACATTACCGCATCGTGAATGACGATCCAGAGACAAAATACATTGTACCAAAATAAACATTGTTGTATACTATTTTCTTCTACTCTCATCAATATATTTTTTTTTTACTACATATATTTATATGTATATCTATCTATGTACACAATCATTAACGTGTTCCTCCACGTTGATTTAAATTGGTTCAACCAATTTCATTAAAATTATAAATTTTTGAAATCACAACATAATTGATCAAATAAAACGTTTCAAAATACTATTTCATCCACGTCTCTTCATTTTGGGCAATTTGAATTTATGAAAAAATATTTCATAAAAAGCAATATTCTCACGAAACAGTACTATCTTTCATTTACTTCATTGCACAACGTTATGTATGTTAATTTCGTCATTACATGTTGAAAATGATGTAAAAAAAACGTTATCGAGTTAGATGTCATTCTTTTTCTCGGTTTGTTACCATTCGAATATTTTGTTCGAATATTTTTAATACGTAACAAACTGCTTTATCAGACACGCTTTACGACTAGAGAATTATATTTAGCGAGATAGTACATTAAATTATTAGTACACGTCGAAACTCCAACAGAATCTGTTACTGGGTTGTTAATATTTGTTTGACGGTACTTATTTTCAGACTTTTGTTCTTTTTTTTCTAGCATCTTTAAAAAACATTAAAATACTTTCGTAAATGCGGTTCACCGTTCAAATCAGTGTCGTACGTGACACTATTGTTCAAAGCGCTAACATAAAGCTAATAGCTTTAACGATCAAAATGAATCTCACACGGCACGGTAAAAAATATCAAAATTGAATAGTTTACGATTCAATGATGTCTATATACATCATCCTTGATGCTTAGAAACTCCATATATAAGGTTCGTAGTTTAAGGGGTCTGGTTGTTCCATGTTGTGACCTGTGTGACTATTATTTCCAACCATACACGATGGATAGGCAACTCCGGTATTCTCCTGTCCCGACACAGACACAGGTGGCACGATAGCCGGTGCTAACCTGCAGTCAGGTCTTTGTTGCATCATAGGACCCATTGGCTGTATCGGTTGCGGCTCTGGTGGTGGACCTGGCGGAGGTTGAGGTTGAGCAAGCGTAGGAAGAGCTGCGGTAATATTGTGGACAGGTTGCATTATGTTAGGAGCTGAAACATAATTCGCCACTGAAAAGTGGTTTTCAAAATTATTGATTAGTTTTCTCTGCGTGATAAGACACGATACTAGAATAAATTAAGGTACAGTGGTGAGGTTAAGGGGACGCACTTGTTGCAGGATTATGAAACGGTAAAACAGTGGGCTGTTCTGGTATCATATTTGTCGACGGCGAGACGCTTTTCACCGATATAGACTCGGTTCTTCTTCTCTTAGAAGATAACCGTTTCGGGGTGTTCCTCGACCCTTGGTCACGTTTTCTATTACCGTTTGATTTTTTCTTCTTTTCGCCAAGCATTTTTGGTTTATTTGGTCGATTTCCGCTGGGTTGCCAAAGGTGCACTGTGTGTACAGCGTTTCCTTCCCTAAAACGATCAAAAGGTTCGATCCCTTGTTGGTGTACACGAAAGTATCTGTATAACGAAGAGCGTCTTTTTATACAGACCCTTGCTTCTTTCCGAGCTTCCAACTATGAATACCAGCTTTATGAAGCCTTTCCCTAATCGTATCCACGCTACATTTTAAGCCCAGAGCTGGCGCAACGTGTTTAGCCGCGGTCAGAGGCTGCTGGGTAGCCATAGCGATTATGGCTTCGTCTTGTTCCTTAGTCGTGATTCGACGACGACCCTTTCTTTCCTTCGTCTGTACGTTGCCTTCTTTATGCCAACGTTCTAACCACCTTTTAACGGTACGTTCCTATTTAATAACAAGTACTCGGTATACGGCTATCACCAAGATAGTCTTATATAATTATACGAAGCCATCAAGACGATCTTCTTCTTACCGATCTATCGATCGCGAGTGCGATAGACAGCGTGGACAAGCCCGCTTCCGACATGCCGATCATACGATTTCGAATTTCGACGCTAGTTTCCAACGTTCCTTTCGCTTTCCCACCTTTCTTTTTCCTTTTCTGCGACATGTTTCTTTCGCTATCTTCTTTCGACGTACAATGAAGCCTGTCGGGTTGCAGGATCACCTGATCCTGATTCTTGCATCCTAAAATAAAGGGGAACAAGATTTGATTTTTAATGGTTTAAGTGACGATTTTATAATCGTAATAGCTTGTCAATAACCTGTATCGTCATCGCCAGTGACTCGTAAATAACGCGGCGGCTCGTTCTGTGCCGGAAGTTCCAAAAACTGGTGAGGATCTTCCTGCAACCTAACGGGCAAAAATCGTTCCATCTTGACAGGCTTCGCCGTATTCTCGGTTTGCTTAAGTTCACCGCTAGAAGACTGGTTACTGTCTTGAGAACTACAAGAGTTAAAGGTATCGGAGTTCGTGTTTGTATTGGTTTGCGGACTAGCTAATTGTAAGTGTAAATGCTCTTGATGCTGCTGATGTTGAATTTGGTGCTCTACTTTGAGTTGACGTTGCTGATCGAGACTATGCGTTTGATCCGGAATCGTTTGTCGTACTTGTTGCTCGTGATGTTGCTGTTGCTCTTGACGCGTACGTAACTCCTGAAGCTGCTGCGACAAAGGTTGTTCGTAAGATATTAGATTAGGTTGGCCCTAAAATTCCGAGAAGCTAGAGTCCGACGACGGGATGAATGTCCGCGTAAATTTTACTTTGAACAAAGGGCTCAAACCTGCGGATAATGATGACTTCCTTGCACCAAATCCAGCGGCCAATTTTGAGAGATATTCAAACCAGGGTGTTGGTAAACGGGCTGATCTTGGTGAACTAAACTCAACGCGTTGCCAAATTCCGTTTGATTCGAAGGTAACGGTTGGGATGGCGACTGCATTTCGGTAGCTTGAGGCTGAGGAGCATTTTGTTGCGAAAATATAAATTCCTGCTGTTCGGTTGGTTGTTTTGCGTTTTCTACCGGAGCACCATCCCCTACGTATACATCTTTAGCCCTAATTTTCCACGAGGGATTCTTTTTCTTAGTCGCGCCTGTATTTTTATCGTTTTTACTAGAATCTTTGGAAGACTTTTTTTTCCCTAACTGCGTTCCAGTGGGCCTCCATACAGGTTGTTGAATAGCAACACCATCCGTGTCGCTGTAGACAAAAATTAGAGAATTTAAAATTGAATCGGACTAGCAAATAAATATAAAAAATTCAAGTGTCCAAGAACCAACCCTAGTGGAATTCTTTGCATGTATTTCCGGGAGGGACTCCAATTGTGAATTCCTGCTTTATGTAGTCTTTCTCTTATAGTGTCTACAGAGCAGTTGAGTCCCAAAGCGGGAAGAACAGCTTTAGCAGCTGTTATAGGTGTCTGTGTGGCAAGCCGTATAATAGCTTCATCTTGTTCTGAGGTGGTGGCTCTTTTGCGTCCACATCGTTCTCTTGTTTCCACAGTGCCTTCTTTATCGAATCTGTTCAACCACCTCTTCACTGTACGTTGCTGAAAAAATAGGAAGCAACAGAGGGAGGATAAGTATAACAGTTGAAATCATAGTAGTAATATTATCGATTGCTTATGAACCAGATTGATTCATAATACAATTTTTTAAATATACTTGCCGAACAATTGACGGCTGCCGCGATTTCTCGCAAACCCAAACCAGCCTCGTACATTCCCACCATTCGATTTCTCAATTCCGGGGTCGTTTCGTGCACTCCTCTCGTTTTCCCCATTTCGTTTAGTTATTAAAATTATTTTGGAAGAAAGATGTACCGCAAGAAAGACCCGTGAAAAATTTTAAATTTTACGCGAAAACTGACGTACGAATAGAAGAGACCACGTGACAGTGGCAGTGCTCTATCCGGAAGTTTTTCAAAATTTTAATTAGCCCCGTGCAATCGTGCTTTCCGTTTGTCGCGGGATCTCCGAATTTTAACGATCCGCCTGGTCATCTTATCTAACGATCGAGGTCCCGCCGCGAACGCTTTTCGAAAAATATTGTTTCTTTCTCGTCTTCGACATCGCACCGTGTCAGAAGTGCTCGGACAGGTCGAAACCTTAGCGTCGACGGAATGCAATTGCGTTGTTTACAGAACACGATTTCGCTCGAAGAATTTACTCGGACAACTTTCGTTTCGATGGAAATCACACGGTGGACGTTGCAACGCATGGACGAAACCTTGTAATTTCACCGTCGATACACCTTATATGTCTCGTTTTCGACGAAATGCACTCGCTCGAAGAAAACACTTCAGTCAATACAACTTCGGCTGTACAGTCCCGTCGAGATTCTTTTGTCCTCGCTCCGTGTCACGGGAACTTTCAATTTCCATTCGAGCATCGTTTTCGAAACGATTTTTCCTCCTTGGGAAACATTCTCCGAGCTGTCGTGAAATGGTAAAAGTCTTTAGCTAAGACACGAAACGTTTTCGGTCAGAATACCGTCCCGATAATGCACCGGCATCGTCAATTTTTATTCGGTGGACTGTACTGTGTCATCGACCGTACAGTCCCTCGAAATTGCTTCATCCTCGAGGAATCTATCGACTCCGTTTCATTTTAAGGAACGGAGATGAATCCAAAGAACTCGATGAACGCAGAGCTAAACGTGTTCTTCACAAATTCGTGCTCGTTTCTTTCGTCAAAGAAGGTTCACAATGGAGTCCCGTCAATAGAAAATCAGTCGACTGTACTACCGAGCAGCGGGAAATGTATGTACAGCGAGAAGGTTATGTCAAACGAGTGACATTTCGCGTAACGACGAGTCTCGGCCAGATATTAAACAACTTTGCAGAGATTTCATGGAAACGATACCGTTTATATACGTTTCCTTCATAACGACGCACTGATGTTTTACGTATTAGCTACAATTTCGATGGAGGCGAGTGCGACGATGGTCAATAATTTTGACGGACGACTGTACTCGACGCGTGTTATTCAGGGTTAGCTCGGGTATGTTCGCCCACCTTCGCCGGAATTATATTGACCCACAAAATTGGTTCCCTCGTAACTTCGTAGATAAGCTGAAGTTCATCGACTCGAATTTTGAAAGTTTCTAATCTCCTGGCACTATTACGATTTTCGAGGATTTGACCGAATTTTTATTTAATATACAGGGTGTGCTAAAGTGTTACAGACGCATATTTCAATAACTATTGATGATACGAAAACATTGTTTAGATTGTAAATTGCAGGATACAATGGTCTCTATATTGTGTCGTAAACGAAATTTTGTTTATATTATTTGTTTGTTGTTGTTTATTTTATTGCCATACCTTTATGGGTTTTTAGATTTGTCCCCTTCCCTTGTCTTATATCCCCTTTTCCTTATCTAGTAATCTTATAATCTAATTTTGTTTATATTATTAATTTAAAGATATGTTGGTAAAGTGTCGTTTTTTAAATGGAACTATATATTATTTAGGATATTATGCGATAGTGCTTTTCAAGAGGAATTCATTGACCCTTAATGTTCACACATTCAAGAAGTAAATTGTTAAGAAATAAATGTTTTTAAGTTATATGTAGAGCATGGAGCTCAAATATTTTCCCAGGCGCATAGGACCCCTCATTGACCGTTAATGTATTTACTCGATTTTTATTAGTTTTCAAGATATGACGCTTTGAAATTTACTGATTTTCGGCGGAAACGTATCGTTTTGAGTGACGAGTCGTAAAAGCGACCCAATTGTTGCGGTGTTTGACTCTGCCTCTTGAAACCGATAAACAAGGGTCTACGCTCGGAAAGGCAGGCCCGAACGGTAAGAAACATGGAAAGTATTGTCCATCACGGTGTAAGTTTGCCGCATCCCCAAAGGTAGACCGTGATGGGCAATACTTTCCATGTTTCTTGCTATCGGTTAAAAAGGGCAGAGTCAAACACTGCAACAATAGGATCGCTTTTACGACTTGTAACTCAAAACGATACCTTTCCCCTGAAAATCAGTAAATTTCGAAGCGTTACATCTTGAAAACTAATAAAAATCGAGTAAATACATAGAGAGTCAATGAATTCGTCTTGAAAAGCACTAACGCATGATTCCATTAAAAAAAAACGACACTTTACCAACATATCTTTAAATTAATAATATAAAAATAATTTCGTTTACGCTACAATATAGAGTCCATTGTTTCCTGCAATTTACATCCAAACAATTTTTTCGTATCATCAATAGTTATTGAAATATGTTTCCAAAGTCATCAAGTCATCATCTTTCTAAAGTCACACTTTAGCGTGGACATTCTGTATAAAAAAAGACAATGCCATATTTCCAAGACAAACCATAATTCTCTACCACGTTTAGTTTAGAAGTTGTGTTCATTTAAAGTATGATAATACCATATTCATGAATATAATTTATAAGCTAAATGTTTTTTATATTATTTTCTGATAAATTATATTAAACAAAAACATGGTTAAATGCCTCGAAATTTATTATTGTAAATATAACTTCTAAACTAAACATTATAGAGAATCGGGACTTGCGATATTGTTTTTGTATCAAATTATATGAAATAAAACGCCTATCGCGCCTATCTGTCTATCGCGTAGCAGTCAATCCTATGGCAATGCAGTATAAGACAATAAATTAATCCGAACGATGTCGTTTGAAGTGTGAAATTAATACTCATGAATACTCTCGTGTTTTTTCTAATTCGTACTTCATCTAACGACGAACAATTCCTGTCCTGTTGCTATTTCTAAACGGAAAATGTAACGACATCAAATAAGAGATTACATGTATAGGGTCGACAGATCGTAAACTGGTAACATCCGCCAATCAACCTGCGTTTATACGTGCTACACCCTGACCTAGAATTTAAAGATTCGACCACCCTATGACGGACAACTCGCGATGGTATCACGTGCTACGTGCAACTATGAATGGAGCAATGATATCTGGATCAATAAAGAGGGACTTTCGCGAATAACATGAAAGATTTATAACTCGACAATGCCCGGGAATGCTAACGTCCCTGTGCATGTGTGCAGCTCAAAGGGAGCGTTGACTTGTTTACTTTCTAGATTTTCTAGATTTTAGATATGACGATGAATCGTTACAATTAATACGTTTGAGTAGTACCATTCAATATTCGCATCGCATTCGACTAGTTCGACATTCGAACGAATAAAGATTCCATCTAGAGATCTCTTCGTCGAGTCGATCTTTAGCCGGGCCCTCGCGCTTGCAGGAGCTTGCAGATACTGCGTGATCAGTATCTATAAGTTTATAAGCGCGTTATCTGCGCTGATAAACGAGCTGCGCTTTGCGTCGCATCGCCGAGTGTTCCACCCCCGACCCGAGCCAAACCGAGGCGTGTCGAGTTTCACCGAATCGCGTTGCTCCGGAGAGATCCTCGCAAAATTCTCGCGGATTTCCGGGCAGCAAGAACTCGCGGTTAGGAATCGTTATCGTATCTGGTGGTGTTCCGACGATCGGAAATCGATTGGTCACTCGACTTGGCGAGAACCGACGTAATCGGATGCGAATCATGGGGTTCTCGTTCCTCGTACCCTTGCTGGCTCTGTGCTTGATCCAGCCGCTGACGGTTCATTGCGGGGTACGTATCATTGCCAGGCGTATTTCTTTCAAATTGTGTATTCCTCTTCAGGGGTTACAACAGGCCAAGAATCTAAAATACGATAGAATTTTGAAATATCGAAAAATTATAGAGACCATGACAATTTAATTTAATATTCGATAACGAATATTTGAATATTACTCTACGCGCGTTGATAGAAAAAGTATCGAATAATCAAATATACTTTTCAGCCCGCCGCACCGTAGTAACCCCTTAACGATGCTGTCCATTCTTCCGAGTGCGTGGCTGTCTCGTTTCTGAAAAATTACATTTAATATTAGATAACGAATAAAATCGTGGGTTGTGTATTGTTTGTACGGTAGCCGTGGTTACCTTCGAGTAAATCTCGCTTCCAGCGTAGAGAAAATTCGCCATCGATCGAGCTATCGGGATTGATCCGAGTACGATACGAAAACTAACGTGTTGCATAGCGAAGGGGCCGATGTTCGTTCAAGTTCCATCGATTCTCGATTTAATCTAACCTCTGATCTATTCGATTTCAACTAAAACTATACGTTTTTGTAGACACGACCGAGTTTCGTCTCTGACAAGATGATCTCGACCGCGGCGAGTGTTGTGAACGCTTGTCAAACGCAGACAGAAGTAGCGACAGGTACTCGCGCGCTATGATTAGTAATTTTAATCATAAACGAATATCCGTAATCGTCCGTCGCGTTGAAATTTAAAGAAATAGTAATATAATACGTTGTTTCAGTGGACATTGAGGCGGTAAGGAACGGTGTGTGGCCCGAGACACACCAGTTGAAGGTAAATGTATCCTTACATTTCGCGTTTTCTGCGTTTCTATCCAATATAGATAAACTACTGTTTCCGTTTACAGTGTTACATGTACTGCCTCTGGGAACAATTCGGCCTGGTCGACGACAAGAGAGAGCTCAGTTTGAACGGCATGCTCACGTTCTTTCAAAGAATACCAGCGTACAGGGCGGAGGTCCAGACCGCCATCAGCGAATGCAAGGGGTTGGGTAAATATATCGGTATCTACCTTACATTTTTTATTATTTCTCCTTTTCGTTCTCGTCGATCGATCAGGCGTCGTCGAAATTTTCTTCCTTTTCGTTATATTTCTTTGCGTTACGTTTACACCGTCGGTGCACGACGCGTAATGATTTTCCATTGTCGATTACACGCGATCGATCGAATTGAGCATGGTCACTCGATTAATTCGCATCGATGGTTTCTTCAGCGCAAGGCGACAACTGCGAGTACGCGTACGTGTTCAACAAATGCTACGCGTCTCTGTCCCCGCGGGTGAGTGAAATATCCTTGAAAAAAAGAAATACAATGATTCGGATGAGTACGAATGTTTAACAAAGCATCCCTTTTATCGTTTCAGACGTACTACTTGTTTTAATGGGCAGAACGGGAGAAACAAATAAAACGAGATGAAAAAAAAACGACGCACGCAAAGATGGTTCGTCGAACGCCCTGAAACCTGTGTCCAGTAATTTTTCACTTTACCATGTAACGGAACTGTACCTGTTTCGATGTATACGGCCCTTCCCACGAGACGCCAATAAAATAAAACGTCTGAATCACTTGACGTTTAAATTACTGCCAATTTAATCAGTACACCCCCTCTCTGACCATAGAGTAACACGCGTTTCTCGGAAGTACGTTAACAGATTACGTTCCAAGAACTAGTTATCTCTAGAAATGAAATTTTGATGAATTCTTCGTAAAAAAATTGTTCCAATACTTGGCCAATTCGTCCATTACTCCATAGTCCATTGCTCGAATCTGAATAAAGGGTACGAGGAAGGGGGCGATACGAAGCGTTGACGGTTGAGAAATATAGGAAGATTTGATTGTCCGTGTTTCGAGTTGATCGCAACTTCCGACGACGAGGCGCTCCAATTATCAATTGAGGTCGTGTTCGAGCGCGAGATCGCGTTAGAAATAGAGCGAGTAGTCTAACACGTTTTGTTGATTGATTAATCGACGTATTCACACGCGCCTAAACAGCGAAGCCACCGATTACGTTCCTCACACCTCGATTTCGATCGAGAAGTGGGAAGAGGAGAAGCGACATCGGGGAGAGACCAACCTTGAAATATCTCCAACTACCGCTGCTTTAGTTGACCTTTGAACAATACAGAAAGAAATGTTTTTTTAACTATATATAAAGCACAAAAGATATCGAAAAATGTTTTAAATAAAACTTTCCAAATAAAAACCGCTCCTCTCCTATTTCCTGAATAACTTTCGCAATTTAAGCGTATCTCCTGGTATAATCGACGTGTTATCGAACTCTTATCCTTAAAGTTGCATAAACGATCTTCAACCTGCAATTAAGAGACAAATATCTCCACCTTCTAGACCACAGTTTCCAAGAAACTTAAACATGTCCGAGGAGGGATGCCGTAATTAACAAAGTTTCGTTTAGAGCATCAACTGTTGCATTACGGGTAAGCGAGCCGTTTAACATCCTTTCATATAACAGCATCCGCGTACGGATGGTTAATTACACCTTACGTTTACATTGTATCCTTTTAATTGATATTATAGTTATCGTTGACGAACCAAGGTTTCCGAATACGCAATATTTTCTGGAACGCTCTAATATATATACTCGTCGATTGTAAGTTTCGTTGCTAATATTTGTAGCAGCCCTGGTCGAACAAAGGCGATCATGTGCGTTCATTCGACGATTAAAGGATGCGAGATACGGATGCAATTTACTTGTAGACGACACTACCTGCTGGTTACATTCTTGCCAGCCGATTATTATTTCCCATTTGCCTTGAAAATCACACTCGTGTATATGTATATATTCCGCCAATCGGTGGAAGCAGCACAGTCCGTTTGGTGTTTTTATGTGTAAACCTTCCAAAGTTTCTGGCGAAGGAATGACGACTTCGGAATCCGTTCTGATTTTTCTATGCGTCATAACGTCTGCATTTGTCTTTGCGATTGGTGCTGGTTCGGTAAGTACCTCTGTGAGATAGAATACCGATAACCCACTTAATTTCCTTCAAGTTCTTTCAATCTATATATATATATTTTTTTTTTCATGGTAAACTAGGCTAATCCCGAAGACTTCCGGAAAATGACATCAGGCGTAAGGAAGAAATGTATCGCGGAGACCAAAACGACTCTTAGTAAGTAAAGTTTATCGACTGATTGAACGTACGATATATACCCCTTCCATTTTACAGAGGCCATCGAGGACTTTGAATACGGTGTAATGCCCGATGACGACAACCTGAAGTGCTACTTCAAGTGCTCCCTAGAGAAATTCGGCATGGTCGGTTGTTCGTACCCATCCACGCCGTCGTTATTATAACTATCCTGTTTTTTTGTTGAACAGATGGACAAAACTGGTAAGATAAAGTACAATATGTTGAAGAAAGTAATACCAGAAGCTTACAAGGAAGTGGCTTTCGACATGATCGACACCTGCGTTGATCCTCGTACGTACCATCGTGGTAACTTTGCGAGTCTCCATTTTGTAAAATAGATCACGATACGCTTATTCTACTTTTAGTTGGAAAAGATAACTGCGACAAAGTCTTCAATTTCGTGAAGTGCTTGTACAACGAAAATCCCATGGTAAGTTGGGTCGATGATTTTCAATTTTTCCAAGGAAACTGCTTTTCCTCTAGTAAAAGATGTTCTTCTTGTTTCCGTTCCTGCAGGCATTTATCGCTCCATGAAAGTCATCGTCGACGCCTAGGACTGAAAATATGCGTTGAAAATGCAGCACCGTATACAGCGAGCGGAAGGAATGATTCGTCGTAGACGACAGAAGAGTACGACGAAACCTTTAAAACATGTCAACGTATAATTCAGTAACGAATTGAAAACATATATAACGTATAATAAAACGATGGTGACTCGCGAAGGCGTATTCGTTGAAAATACATACATTCCAGTTTATCACATACGACGAACACTTACGTTAAATCCTGTGTGATATTTACAGTGTGAACCTAGCATAGAGTGTCTCCACAAAATTGATTTTTCTTTTACATTTTCCTAGAGTTCGTAGTCTTAGAGGGGTACTTGCTTGTTCGGGGGAAACACGGTTCGATTCGACGAGCTGATTGCAGTATACATGCAAATCAACGAAAAATCCACTTTCTTTTTTTGTTTAAATAGCTAGAGTTCAAAACCATCTTAAAACGAGTGATTCTCGAAGGTGCCGCGACCATGGTAACCGAAAAATATCGATTACGTCTTGCGTGGCTTGGTCTTTCTTTTGTTAATGTTCATTATTTGCTCGACGATAATGTCGTCCGCTCTTGGGTCGATGGGAACCGCCTGTATCGGGGTTCTCGAGCTAGGAGTTGGTTTCGACCGCCTCTCGATCAGCGCGTTCAACCACGTCCACATCTTCTCGCGATTCAGGAACGCAAACGCCACCAACATTATGAAAGGTAATGCGACCACCGAAGTCTGATTCATGTCGCTTTGATCCACCTTTCGTTCGGCGTTGAACGTCAGCTTCACGTACTTGAAGGACGAGTTAGCCTCGAAGTAAACCGGCACGGTCTTGTATTTGTGCATAGACTGGGACAACGACGACTCCAACTGCACGAAGTACTTCTTCCCGTCGGCTTGCAACGGGGGTAGATGGACGAGAAATCCTGCGTTGTAGTTGGTGCCCATCTTGTTCGACTGTTGAGCCTCCAGCTTGGTGGAATGGATGGGGGAATCGGGCATATCCTCCCTGCACAGTTTCACCTTGAGGGTACGATAATGTTCTGGTTGGGCGGATACGACGTGCACGGAGACGTCGGTGCGAGAGATCGGATGGAACGCGACCAACCGAAGACCGTGGATGTCTTTTCCGGTCTTCACTGTTATGGAGTCGGGGCTCGTGCGTTGGATATGCGCGTTCACCTCGGCGTTTGGTTTCAGACGGAACAAGTAAGTACACTGTAAAAAGAAAATAATTTTAACATGTACGAGGGAAAAGGTAAACGATAGAGGAAGGAATTAGACATTGCATACCGTTGGCTGAAGGCCCCTGATTCGAAAATTCCCGTTCTCCTCGGTGGTCGCTTCTTCCTGTAGATTGTTACAGTCGTCTTGGCCTTGGACTTCAACCAGCAACCCAGCCTCGGGTTTTCCATTCAAAGACGTCACCGAACCATACGCGCTGAACGCGACCCTCTTTCCGAATAGATTCACCGTAACGGTCGCGCCTTCTACGACTTTGATCATTTTCGACGGAGGATCGAAACGGTACTCCTTCATCATTGGTCGCAGATAATATTCCCCGGGGGACAGCGAATTGAAGATCAACCTGCCATCCTCGCCTGTTATGCTGTTCCTTCGGTAACTTTGTCCACCGGACAGGGAAAGAAGAACGCCCTATGGAACAAATAAAAGGAGCCTGTAGGTGATCTAACTTATACTTCAGTTTCATTTCGATAACGCACCTGCAGCGAGATATTGTCGGCCTGATCGGAGACCTGCACGATAATTTCAGCCAGCTTGTGAGCTAAGAAGACTCCGTTGGCATCAGGTCCTGTGATGACGAAGCCTTCTTTTTCTGCGGCGACACTTAACAAAGAAACAAAAATTAAAAATACGCAAGTCTGCAAACAGTTTAGGTCTTTCTTTGCATACCTGTAGTCCACTTTCCCATCCAGAGGACCGATATTGTAAGTTCCATCCTTCTGAGTGACCAACGTGTGTATGGGAGAATTCTTGTCGCTTCCGAATATCTGCACGGTGACTCCTTCCAAAGGCGGACTGATCTTGCCAGCAATGATCTGCGCGATACGTAATAAATAAAATTGTTAAGCTGCAACGAATCAATGGCAAACATTTACTCACCTTTCCCAAATCGCCGATAAACGTGGCGATGTCATTTTGACAATCGTTGACTCCCAATACCTTCAACGACGGAGGACTAAATAGAAGGATGTCCGACAAGGGCGTTATCGTATAAATATTATCAGTCTTTGCTTTGAACTCGAAGTCGTACTTGTACAGATTTTCATGCTGGACGGGTTTCAACGGGCCCAGACTGTTAAAAAAATAATTTGTTAAACAGTAATACAATAGCAGTAATACAATAGTGGTTTATATGTTCGTTCACTTACGTGATCACTTCACCGCCATTTTCGATTATCACTTTGACTCCATCCAACGCGGAAGTACTTTGGATGTTCCCTTTATGACTATGTTCAGTTGAATGCAACAAAATGGGAGAAAGGCTGTTAGTATCCCAAGTATGCGACGACCAATCGTACACGTGACAACTTTTCGGCGTAAAGGTGTACGCTCCAGGATTGGTAACGCAATGCTTCGTACTTCCTTTGGTCAAAGTCAAGACGATCTTTTTTGGATTGTTGGCTTCCAAGTACTCCACCGCCGTGTCGTGAGAAGAGATGAATGTAACGGAGAATCCAGTTTGTACAAAAGCTGGTACCTCGGCGCGTTCCGATGTTATCGAGATTCTGTAACTAGGATTCTTCCAGCAGAAAACGTCGTTGTCGATCAGCACTTCATAGTGACCAGGTAACACGTCCGTGAACTGGTACTGACCATCTGCGTGACGAAAAATTACTTCACAGACAAAAAAGAATAGCATCGCGCGAATCGGCAGCGGTACTACCGCGATAACAAAAATGCTTTTGAAAACTACACTCGTTCAGACGCGTTTTTGTTATCGCGGGAATTAGAAAAGTACGTCGATAAATATAGATACGGTACGCGTAGAAAACGCTGAAACCTTACCCTTGGACTGAATCGTCTTTATCGTGATTCCATCGAGCACTTTCAGCGTAACGGATGCCTGACTGCAATCGGTACCTGGCAAACATTTTACCGTACCCGTTAACGTTGCCTTCAATTGCAAGAAGTTGACGTCGAGCACTGGTCGAGACGATACATCGATAGTTTGTTGCAACGGGAAAAATCTGAAAACTGTTTGATTAGGACAGAGGCCAGATAGAGCGCATAAAATAATGATCGACTTACTGTAAGCCCTTATCTCTTTCTTCCGCGCTCACAACTACGGTCAATTGATATCTGTCGGGAGCAAGATAGATGCAAAATTCTCCAGTCTTCGCGTCCGTTTCGATTTCTTTGTTAAACGTAGCGGCCGTATTCTGTACCAAAACCTTACGATAATGCAACGTTCCTTTCGCGGATAGGGTTACCTTTCCACAAACTTTGTACGCCGATGGCACGAGCACTGGAAGTTCTGGGGAGCTAGGGGAGATCTTAACTGTTTTTTCGTTGAACAGTACGTCATCTGTGTCGCAAAAAAATTGAATTATTAATAATGCACTTTCGATTGTAGTTGATATAAAAATAGAGAACTCCTTCCGATCTACGTACCACTTTCAGCTTTCAGAGTATACTGGCCAGCCTTCATGTTATCCAACACATATTTCCCTTTGGCATCTGTCTTCGCGACTTCCTTTTGCGACAGTAGAATTTTTGCCCCCTGCAGAGGCTCCCCATCGATCGAGGTACGAACTACGCCGCTCACTGTAAAACCAGTTACTTTGAATCCTTGACGTAACACGACGCTGTTATGGTTTACTTTGAAGGACAGCTCTGCTGGTTGAACAACGAATTTGGTCTGGGCACCGGCATAGTACGGCACGAGCTTATATTCTCCGGTTGATAAACTTGGGAATACAAATTTCCCGCTTTTGTCAGACACAACTTGACAAAGAGCCTTCTTGGATTGAAGGTCTTTGCTAACGGGCGTCGTCGCGCAATTCTTAGCCACGCCATTCTGCGAATGAACGCGGTTACGGTGAGATTATCTTTCTACAGTTTCGAATTTGTACGAACATAAAAAAGTAGAAAAGAGAAGATTCTTACTCCAAAGAGAACAAAGGTTACACCGTTAACGGGTTCTTCTTCGCTGGTAACGCGACCGCTAGCGTCGTATCCAGAGACTACCAAGCTACCATCTGGAAGTTCTGTATTGCCTTCTTTTACTGTTACTTTGACGGTATCCTTCTCCATCATCCATCTGAAAATGATGAAAGAATGTATATGCTGCTGTAATTAAGTCGTGCATATTGTAAGACTCACGAGGGATGTGAAGCGACGAGTATGTATCGACCAGGCTGTATGGGTGTAAAGTAAAATGTGCCACCTTCTGCTGTGACTGTTGTTCCAACAGGAACTTTTTCATTGCCTTCATTGTATAGCGTAACTGTAACTCCTTTGGGGCCAGAATCTGACCCTAAACTGATAACCTAAAATGGATTTAGTCTCTTGTGATATATGTAATTGATATTATTGTTTTGTTAAATGAATATTTCTATGATGTATATACTTGGATAAGGCTGCTGTAACTTACCCTGCCTGTGATACCAAAACCTTTGAAGGTAAAGTTGATGTCTTGGCCTTGACTACAGGCATCGGTCACTCCATCCACATTCAATAAAACTTCCGTGGGCTCGAAGCTCCAACCTCTAGGTGGATCCACCTAATACATTCGAATATATATGTTAAAGCTACAATATATATACACAGCTCGAGGAATTAAACAGCTCATATTTTCGCTCATTAACGCATCGATAATATAATTATCATTGTGTCATTCCACATTACCTTCAATACGTATTCCCCTTTGTCGTACAATGGAAGAAAGTAGTATCCGCTATTAGGAGCACATTCCGTGTTATCCTTAAGGCTACCAGCCTTCGTATACCTAAATTGAACAAAAGTTTAAGTCATTATTAAACGATTTTATTTTTCCACGTAAACACGAGTCGCAAACAGTTCGACATCGAGGTACTCACAAATTTATTTGAACTTTCGCGAAGTCGATGTCGGCATGACTTTTCAAAAATCCTCCGCAACCTAAAATGTCTTCCGCGTTACAACGGACCGCAAATATGTACAAATGGAGTAAATAAATACTAATTATTCGTTTCATACTCGCTAGCCTTGCTAAATTACTAAACATTGTTACATCTACCGAGTAACGAGGGTAACGAGTAACGCAAGACCACCTTGCAGTTCACGTCACAGCGTGACGCGATTGCAGCGACACAAGAAACATTTTCCCGCCATAGCCTGAATAATGTTAATGAAAACGATGTTGATTTTAATAGATAGGTAGAAAATATGATAATGAGAAAATTTGTAGCCTCTATAGGCCTCTTTAGGTACAAAATAGCATCGTTTCAAGTTGTCTCTGTACTACTTTTTTACTGTTTTTTACTGGTCTGCTTCTCCATTTTTAAATGTCTTCTACGTTATCACTAATCATTGAACGAAGGTGGCAACCATGATTCGATGCACTGTATTCTGCTGTGTTCCCCAAGAATTAATGGAGGATTTGAAAAGTCAATAACCTCGAGTCGAGTTGTAAATAATTAAAGTCATAGTAGCATAAAATACGAATAGTTGTCGAATAAAAGTGAAAGGAAAGTTTTGACGTCATGGTGAAAATAGCGTTGAAAGTGAACGCCACTCTGGAAAACATAGAGGAGCTGAGACCCTCTGGACATCAGTTTAGATGGTACCTAAAGTTTACCTGCTCCAGTTGCGGTGAGGTATCCGAAAAATGGAATTATGCATCCCTGAGCGAGTTCACTCCAGCTCTGAGAGGAAACGCGGTAACCCACTTCATGAGCAAATGCAAGCTCTGTTCTCGCGAGAATTCTATGTCTATTTTGGAAGATTCTTTAAAGCCTTACGTCGCGGACAATCAAGAAAAGTTTCAAACGATAGTGGTATTTGATTGTCGAGGTCTGGAACCCATCGATTTCTCGCCAAGAGAGGGATGGATTGCCAAAGCTGCAAATGGTGGAAAGGAATTCACAGAGGTGGATCTATCGGAAGGAGAATGGGCTGATTATTGCGATAAGATCAAAGAACCTGTAGGGATCTATGATATCGAGCACAGGTTTGAGAGAGTTAAGTAAATGGTTTGTCGCTGAATCACAGACATGCATTGTTTACGAGGTTGTTATGGTTTATCTGTTATTCTATAAGATAATCATATTATTTGTCCATGCCGTGAGATATTGTATTAAAATATGGACATGGATTCGAGATGTATTTTTACTACGTAAAGTTCATTTCTCTTCTTTGTTGATACTCTATGCATATATTTTTATAGACACTTTAATTCACATTCTGTATACTTGCTATTTAGCTGTACGAGCTTATAAGCATCGGAAAGTGCACCCACCTATTCGATATGTATAATTTTGTAGTTTAGTCTGCAGGATCGTGGTTTCTTAAATGAAAAGAAAATATCAGAGACAGTTTTCCATTCACGCGTACGCATGTAAGATGCTCGTGACAAAATCGCTATGTTGTAAGTTAATTTAATTTAGTTTGTATTACATAGATCCAAAGAAAATAAACATACCAGACTACAAGGACAATCCCTAGGTAATAAGTGAACGAATAAACGCACGCTTCCAACGACGTAATATAATTTATTCATAATCATATAAAAAAAGTCCATTTACTTTCGTAAATGGTTTAGTACACGGAAAATTTGCAACAATAATTTCGCGTTACTTCTAAATCCATTTCAAATTGCCGATCGTACCCTGCACAATTAACCAGATGACTAGCACATTGCTCCACGGCAGGGAAGAAAAGTTGAAATTTTTAATTCGTTAACCATTCACGAGTCATCCAAGACTCGGGACAAGGCGTTTTATAGTCTGACTACACAACCTTGTCCTTTCGTCAAACACCTTCGGAATGTCTCGATATACTTTAATTGGCTAAAATAATTAAAACCGCAATAATCATCGTCTCGTTTGCTTACGATAATAAAAATTAGATCTTTCTTCGATTAAAAACTAAGTATGTACACGTATCGAGTATAAAAGTTCTGAATAAATTCACCTGAGCCGCGCCACCCGTGAAACGGAAGACGTTTCGCCCACGCGCGCGCGCGTTTTGTGGCAATATAACTCTAAACTGGCTGAAGAAGTTGCAATCACAAGTTCCAACGAAACGTGGAAATAAATCACAAAATGGGGGACGATTCAGAGAAACGATTTTACGAAACTGTTTTAAGTCGATAATCGGCTAATCTAGCGTTACTAATATCCACTACCACTATTGTTTTCTAATATTTCCGTTACTATTGGCCTCTAAACATCTAACACAAATAAATATCGTGTGCGCATTACGATTCGTCGTTCCCGGGGAACGTTTTAACGTATAAATCACATGTAAAAGAAATCATCACCGGACACACGAGTCTAACGATAATAATAGTCGATAACGCTATCAGTCTATTCTCGCAAAAATATCACTGCGACTGAAAGTACTTCGTCTACGTCGTCAGAGTCGAAGGGTGTCCTGTCATCGATTCAAGTTAAACTTTACAAGCATCCAAATAATACGGATAAACTCTGAACGTTAAAGAAAAAGTAGCTTCTCTCTTTTCTATAGCTGGCAAAGTAGTGACTGCTAAAGAGTAACTACTTACGGCTAACAAATTTAAACGTATTAGAAATGTTGTATAGAACATGTCCCAGTCCTAGCTAGAATCGACTCTGAACGAGCATGCGAGATTGGTAAATTATTCGACTCAACGGTACATATTATTGTTTTTCTACGAAACTCAGAAAGTAACTCTAACGATAGTTCACTAATATTACGAATGCGTATTTAGCGTCTTAGATCAACTAAATGGTTCTACACTACCGTACTAGACTATATGTCATCTTTGGTATACTAACGGGAGATGATCGTTCCGCCGGCAGAACCGACGACAACTTCGCCTTCTAGTTCGTCACTTTAATTCTTCATATTCGGAAGTATGAATTACGTAGAAATAGGAACATTACGAGTAATATGTGTGAGTGTGTGTTGTGCCAGTCGTCGCGCGGCGTGTATTCTTGATGCAAACAATGCAGCAAGCTCGCAACGACGAAGAACGCAAATTACATACGGGAGCGATCGTATCCTACGATAGAGGTCTTGTCAACGGAAACTGTCGGCGATTCCGAGTAAAACTTTGTCGCCGCCACGAATACTACGTTCCGTTTCGGACCGCGAACGATCGCCTCTACGGAAGAAAAATATCGGTGTAGCAATTACTGTGCGATGGAAGAAATTTATGAGTTAGCAGTTGGCCGTATTCACTTGCTGACAAATTAACATTCCCCAAACTATACGTTTCACGGATGCACCCGCAAAAACGTTCGTCAACATTACTCGCCAACGTATCGGCGACGATAAGGACAAATTTTGTGTAGTAATGTACGCTTGCTAATCGCACTATTAGTATACTCTTAGTATTCTCTACGTTCTTCGTATTCCGCTAGTAATAGGTTCGTGCAAATTCATAACGGTTCCATAAACTTTGTCGTCTGGTGTATTTGTTTACGCACTTTTTAAAACGAGTTTAACGAGAAATACCTACGAATAGGCCCATTACATCTCTCGACTCGAATAGGTTTGAAACTTCGCAGAGGAGTTGCTTGCTCTATAGTTGCGAAAGAACTAGTGAACGAAAGAATGAATCGCGGCGGAAATGTATACATAGCTCGACAAACTTGGAAAAAATTTGTTATCGAGCAAATAAATAAAATTAGAGTTAGAATAATATACGAATATTCGAATGTGGAAAAATTTGACTAGCCCCTATTCCGTAACTATCGACGAACGTTTAGTAAACACGATGATACTCTTATTATTCTCATCCTTGCTACGCTCAGACCACTCTCTCGGGGATCTTCTCTAAATTCGTCGACCTATACTCGATCCTAGCGTGGTGTCCATGCGTCTTGGAATCACGATCAAGCATGGCAAGACCAAATCGAAAGGATTATCGTTCTTTAGCATTCTCGCGCCCACACCCCGCCTCTTCATCCTTGAACGCATTTTTATGAAGCAGCGTCAACATCGAACGCGTCGAGGACGCGAGCACGAGCGAGCAACATGATTTTCGTAACACATTATTATTTCTGCGCGTCGAACGACGAACACGAGAACAATGCCCAGAAAATATGTAACATTCTTAATTTTGATTCTGTTACCGTGTAGACAGGCAGAAAAATATATGGATACCCTTTAATCTGGGCTTAGGTAGAAATTCAGCTACGATGTACAACGTTAACTCCAATGTCTCGGAGTTCGAGATCGTTGCGCGATATTGGGGCGACCCAGAAAATATTGCGCATTTTCGTCACGTTTGAAATATGATGCGTTGTTACGGTTATCATTTAACAAGTTAGGGATTCGAAAGGCACAATATGTTCTATGCCACCTTAATATAGCGCGTATAAAGAAGGAAAACGTGTCATCGCTACGTCGTTCCCGTGGACTCGACCGTAATGGTCGACCCTGAACGACTCCACTTCTTCGCCTCCTCATTTCATGGCAACTGGTCATTTAATACCGGTTCCAAGCAGGTCTGTTTCAAAGTCGCCGACTGATCCTCGAGGCTTCGTTTCAAGCCCTCTATAGTCTGCATCAGCCTCTGCCTCCGCAACTGTGACAACTGATGTTGAAACATCTGCGAATCCTGAACGTTCGCGTTCGCATTCGCTTCGGCGGCCAATCGTTCTCGACGAAGCTGAGCCACCTTCTCCTTCAGAGATCTCCTCGAGTCGTCTGCGTTTGCAAAACAATGGTTAGTACTTTATAACATACCTGACAATTTTCGCCTTCGTGTTTCGCATCGTGAACATGGCTCAAGGACAATTCCTACAGGTCCTCGCGGCACCAGTCGCGGATCTTACCAGTGTCATCGGTAGCGGTATCTCCGTCAGAGTTTCTCAAGGTACCGGTCTCCCCTAACGTTTTCTGTATTCTACCGTAGGTTGCGCTCCCCGCGTACACTTTCCTTTTCACTGGCTCGCTTTGCGGGCAGTAGGATGAACTCTCTTTTATGGGGCCCATGTCGACAGACCTGCGAAAATAGAAACGTATAAATTTGTCGCGAAATCGTAGGGACGCGGTGGTGTCTTTTTCCTTCGTACGCTAACCTAAAAGTCATCAATGGAGCCCTTCTTCTAACGTCGCATCTTTCCTCGGAGTCGGACGAACTGGACGTTACGCCCTCCTCCTTCGTCGCCGATCTAGACAATCGAACGTCTTTCTTGCTCCCAACGAATGTATCCCTAGACGGTAAAATGACGTGTGGTCTAGTCTGAAAAGAAGTTGGAGACTGCGGTATAAGGTCCTCCGGGTCTATAAAGGGTCGAGGGATGCCGTTACAATTTAGGGACACCGCTCGAGACCCGTTGCAATAGTCGTTGATCTCTTGCTCGCCAGTTATCAAACGAGGAGACCGTATCATACTTCTACACGGGGAATGCTGAACGGGTGGTGTCCTTCTAGCCGCAACGGGAGACACGACGGTCGAGTATTTGATCGGTGGTTCTTGCCTGCAACAGTTTTCCCTCTCTATAAATCGACGGATCGGAGAACAAGGTTGCATGAACTGTCTCTTAGGACTGGTGTGGTCTAGGTCTCTGATGCTGCCGCTCTGTAACTCCGGTTGAGAGTTTCTGCTTTTGGAGAGGGCTAGTTCGATGTTCAGCTCGGTGTTCTTGATGAGCTCGACTCGTTTGTTCGCCAGGCCGTTATGGAATTTGCGCGACGGCGATGGCACGATCGGTATACTGTTTTGACTCTTCTGCATGTTCACCAAGATGTTCTCCGCCTCGAGTATGAGTTCGCGGTACTTTTTGTCCGCTTCTTTGTCCGCCTCGATCAAAGCGATCTCTGACGCGAACGTGGTCATGTAGGCGTTGCCTGTTATCCGCCGCCTAACGATGTTGCCGTTCACGTAGCTTACCTTTAAGGTGAAAGACGAAAGAAATGTTGCACCATAAATATAAAAATGTTCTATAATAAATTCGTTTACGGTTGCTCACCGAATTGGATCGTCTCTTGACTATCTCGCTGTCGACGATGGTGGTCGATGGAACGGCTGGCCTGTCGTCCATCAGCCTCATCGGCGACAGATTCTTGTTGACGTCGTGTTTTCTTCGACGCAGACATATGGGAGTGCCACCTACGCTTCTGCTACCCTGATTGAAGCCAGAATTCTTCAGCAGCATTCTTTCTACCAGTACGCGATTCAGATTCGCCGTTTCGTCATCGCACCTCTCCAACGTCGATTTGCAACGTTGAGAGATCTTCTTCTTCCGTTTCTCGCTTTGCTGCTTCTCGTCCGGCTTCTTGTGTCGGCTGCTCTGCCTCTTAGCGTTGGCGTTCTTCACGCTGGCCGTTCTGCGAACAGATACGAATGCGGGTCGAAACAGTCATAGATCCTTTGCAAACCTGGGACATTTTCTAAACAACGTTTTACAAGTGTTCGTATGAACTCTTTTCCTACAAATGCACCGCCAACAGAAGTCGGATCTGCTCTTTTATTCGGATCAACATTGTACAGAATCAAGCTAGCTCATAGCGACCCCGTTAACAGAATCTGCAATCTAGCAAACAGTATTAGTCAAAGTGTGGACTTTTTCTCGAGTTCGGTATCGTTTAATTTGTACTACAGGGGCCTATACCGTTCGCAAATGAAACAAATGAATAGACATCAGGGAATCTTCGTCGAGTGTACCTCTGAAGGATCGTCGCGTCGTCCTTGATCCTGCGCTTCACCAACGACTCCCTCAGCTTGCTACTACGTCGCGCCAATTCACCGGTGAACGCGAAGTAGGTGCAGTGGCCGGTGTTCGGGAACCGTTCTGGACAATCCAGGTTGTCCAGGCCCAGAAACGAGCCGTTGTCGATGTAATCGAACTCGTCGTTCTCCAACGGATCGTTCTCGTCGCCTACGTCCCGACCTGCGTCCACGTCGGACAAAGAGTCTATGTAATCCTCGCAGTCGGTCGGGTCGCTGTCGGACAGAATGTCCGTTTCCTTCTCGTACACGTAACTCTCGTCGAACTTGCCCATCATCTCGTTCAGAGTGATGTCGTCCTCGGATGATCTGACGCTTCGTGTCACGGACGACCCGGAAGACCCGTTGCAGTTCCCGTTACCGTTGTCGTTGCCGTTGCTGCAACCGCTTCCTCCGCTGCTTCTGCTGTCGCTGCTGCTGCGACTGCGACTGCTGCTGCTACTGCTGCTGCTACTGCTGCTGCTGCTGCTACGCCGATGCACGGACAAGGCCATCTTGGGTCGAATCTCCAAGCCTGAGGCAATTCTCCAATTCTGGTTCACTCTGTGCGAAGTAACTTCGTTAGAGGAGCCATACACGTCTTTATTTTAAACGTTTCAAAGGATTCGCTTACCGTAAGAGTAACCATAACAAAATTTATTAAGGGGACAGAGACATGGGATATAACGTGGTTTCATTTAAAATTAAGGTGCGTAGGTTAATGAGACGCAATGGCATTTGATGGAAGCCTTTGAAAATGACGAGCTCGAGAAAACGTCGATGTAGTCACACGAATGTTCGCAAAATTGCATATTCCAGAGCAGATATTAATTATCATCCTAATGTAACGATCTAGGTGATAAGATAGGGCACTCTGTCGTTGATACAGTACGGTATATCGGCAACTACTTGTATGTACTTATCGACAGAGCGTGCTACGTTACCGATCGTTACCTTCGAGACAAAAACATTTAAATCTTCTTGGAAAAAAAATTGGATCTTCTTCTATTAATCAACCAATGGCAATTTCTAATCGTGAAAATGGTACTGACGGGCTTCTTCCCGCGCTGAGGCTTTCTTGTTTGCATTCCCTTTTGGCACGTGCCT